CACGAAAGAAATGAAAAATATGATTTTCCTTTCTGTTTAGAGCTCCAACTGGGGGAGATCCCTGTGTCACCCGTAATAAGGGTATGGTGTGGAGGGCCATGCCCAGCACCCCCCTCCTCCTCCCGCTCGTCACTCTGCTATCATAATAATACTGAGCTACCCCAATGGATCCTAGAATAATTCCGTCAATGTTATTTCAAGGGCATTAAGAACTTGCCCCCCCCCCCCCCGGTATTTTTTTAGAAGTCGGCGCCTATGCTTGGAGTTCTCAAGCTTAGAGGCCTAAGCGGGAAGTGGACCGGTCATATCATTACACCATCCGCATCTCGGAGCAGCTAAGCTCGGTCGACGATCGCGTTCCGGGTCGGGTACAAGCCACAATTCCAACCGGGCCGATCGAGTTTCAACTCGGAAAAGTCAACCCGTGCAGGCTTCCGACGCGCAGAAAGACAGGAGAACCCGTGGAAACCACGTTCGCATCGTACTTTTTGGACTTCTGACCCAATAAGTATCGTCTCCAGGTCATGAGATTTCGATTGACACGTTAATTATTAAAATCCGTTCATCCGTCTAGGAGGAGTTTCCCGGAATGACAGACAGGTTAGCCTCTTATGTACAGTATATATATGGATTTCGATTTATATTTACGAGGGAAACATACTTAATTCAATATGGGTATTTTAGTTCATGCGAGATAGTATCTATATATATATATGTATGTATGTTTGTGACGATATGGTAATATATATCCTGGTATGTTATGCATCGTTTGGAAGCTTATAGTCAGCAGGTGTTCTCCGAGAAATCAGATTTGAAATAGCATCAACCGGGAGGAGTATTAAGTTATTACATTTTTCACCACTATGCTACCCCCGGTAGAGCCCTGCACGGCTGAATTTTCCGGAACCTGACCCGATGGGCCCGATTCAAGTCATGCCCCGCACCCGATCGGAAACCCAAATTCAAACTTAATTTCATAGCCCGACCCGAGCAAAAATGAAGTGCTTTAACCTTTGCTTTCCTGTGTTTCCTCATCATTTCAAATTGCTTTGCAAAAACAGGAGGAGGTCCAAAGTCGGCTGACAGGAGGAAATTTCTTCAGAAAGAAACTGGTAAACAGATTTCGGTCTCGAGTGGCACTAATTGCCCCTTGCCTGTCAAAAACTCTTCCTCCCTTTATTTATATTCATACTCTCGCAATTTAGCATTTTCATTCTCTCAGAATACATGCATGAATAAGATTTCAGTCATGACATTTCCATGGTCTCAGACCAGAAAAACGATACCATTTTAATGCCCCACTTCCTCCAATAGCGAAAACGACTGCTATTTTACCCATAAAAACTTGAAATTCTTTCTTTACTCTCTGGAATGAAACACGGAAATTACAGAGCGGCATTGGTTACCCAATTGTGGAGAGTCGTAGCATTGTAGGCAGTAAAATAGCATATTAACAAATACCTGTATATGCCCGTTTGTTTGTGTCTTCACATGTTTGGGTGGCCATTAATTCAATATTCAAAGAAAACTTCAAATAAAGATGCAGTCTGGAGCATGAGAGAAGACCTACTATAGGATCGACAGTGTGGTCCCGGATAACGAAGAGCATAATATTTATCCGATTGAGTTCGTTCACGACCTCGCTGCAGCTGGTCTTGCTCCCCATAAATTGACTTGAAAGCGTGGTATAATCGCCATGGTCGTCAGGAACCTGGATGGCAAGACCCAACGAAGTCTCGCGAGATCAAACGGCGATAGTTTCCAAGCTGTGTTGCCTTGAATATCGGAAAGTGCCACAGAAAAAATTTGAAGGAATTGGATTTTACCTTCCTGAACATGTATTTTTCCAATTAATTTAGTTCTTTCAAGAATGCGCGGCTTCCGTCAAGGCGAAGATAGGGTCTGGACCCCGATAAGGCCAATACGCAGGCAACGATGGCATCGATAAAAAGAATGTCGTGTTCCGAGAGGATTTCAATTGATAATCTATCTATCTATCTACATATATAATATGCTTGGGCCTCCGTGTGCATGTCCACAAGTGCATGTGCGCATGTGCGGCGCCTTCATGCCGGCCTCAGGGTGTACGTCTCCCTCTCTTCGGCTCGCACTTTTTTTTCTCGGCCGTTGCGACAGTCGGATCTATGTTCGATAACGTAACAGCCCAGGGGGGGGGGGGGGGAAGTTCAGATGGCCTAATAGGACGAAAAAACGATGGAACGAGCGGAAATCGAAACTAGGACCTAATGCTTGCCGATCAAGTATGCTTCCATTACACTACCGAAGTCAAGCGGATAAATGAATCCTCTCCATGCCATCCCTAACACTACCACGGGAGAGAAAGGCATTCTAAGCATGCCTCCCCCCCCCCCCCACTCCGAGTGTTCACACCTCCGATACGGAATTTTTCGCAGGGACGTGTAAAAGTCCCCGCGTATCACACTTGGAGTCCCCTTTCATACCTTGAGGAAGGATTACTTTCTCGCCAGGGATGAGATCTCCGCCCATATATTTCTTGGGATCCGGAAAAGTTGTATCGTAGGCACGAACACCCCAGGAGTAGGGGGGATGGTGTGGGGGTGCGCAAGACGTACAATGTCCAAGCGGTTGTTACGCATAACGTTGAGAGAGCCGTCGTCTAAACTCGTGAATGCCCGACGATGCTACATGCTTAGCCTAGGCCCCTGCGTGAAAATGTATGCATGGGTTGGCTCACATTCCTCGGATAATAGATATACAGGTATATGAGATGGCGGGAAAACCTCCAATTTTAACACCAGAAGAAAGAGAAAGGAAGAAACGGAGAACCTGCAGGAATTGAGACTTGAGGCAGAAGCCGAATCTCTACATAGATTTTATTATTAACATAAGCACCAATCGGGGAGAGAGTTGAGAAGGCCGCTGACTAAGCAAACTCGTGAATTCCCGAAAGTGCTACACGTTTAGCCTAGGCCAGGAGTGTCAAACTTGATTAGCTGGGGGCTGGATGGAACCTTTCAGGGTGGTTGGATCCATATTAGCAAATTTTGCACCAAAGTTTCAATCGATAACGGGCTGAAATTGTCTATGCTTTTCCAAAACAAACTATTGAAGAGAAATTTGCCTGCCAGACGAAATTTACTAGCGGGCCGGCCGGCAGTTCGACACCTCCGGCTTAGGCTCGACTTGAAGTTCGTGGAAGTCTTCCACGGGTCGGCTAGTACAGTATAATCTCTTTAAGTCAATTTCTAAAATTCACAAAAATTTTACCTGCTCTTCAATAAAAGTCAAGAGAGCAAATTTCTAATGCTACTATTCTATGTTGGAGTTCAAAACATCTTTCTTCAGATCATATACCTACAGGATTTTGAGTATTTGTGGCAAAATTTGCAAATCGCGACATTCTTATTTCGCGCAATTTGCGCGGGGCTCTTCTAGTGTCCGAATACTTTGGTAAATTTCTGCACGTGGAAAAGTTCGTAAACACCTTCCTGACGTAAACTGGTAAGGGGAGTCCGCTGGACATTTCGCAACGGCTCTCAGCTCTTACCGGCTCCCACTCACAACCATTTCGCTGCACCATATAGCCACAACAAAGTTAAGTTGGGAAGACCGCTCAGTTTTGGGCTATTCCGAAAAATTCTGTCGTCCCTTTTTATTGACTAATACCTCAATTCTGTGGTGAAACCTGCATCCAGTGCTTGACAGTGCACCTGATCTGGTGCCTCGCTACCGTACGTAGTTTTCTTGCTGTTTCATGCAACCTAAGATAATTTTGGTAAGACGTAAAGACGTACGCAGTGGCGTATTTACAGGGTGGGGGGGGGGGCCGCTTCTCCTCCCCTCTCCTCCTCCCGGCGCCCCCTTGGAGGTAATATTTTTCTCTCCTGATATCCTTCGAGTGGGTTTTGCGCCCCCCCCCCCCCGACTCTTGTGCCAAAATACGCCACTTGATGTACGCATGCAAAATTATTAGGAATTGCATCCCAATTGTCACGTTGCCTTTCATTAGTTTTCACCACTGCTGACACCTAACTCTGAGTATTCCCTTCAGGTATCCTGTAGCGAAGGAACGTGCAAAAAACTATTTTCAAATTTGATTTCAAAATGAGTATGATTTTCAATTTATTAATAAGAATAGTATTTTTTGTGACTGTTACCTTAGAGATCAAAGTGAGATATTGAATGCCAGGAAATGATTTTTAAAAATCCAAAATCTCAGAATCTTAAGTCATGACACGTTAAGACACGTTGCATGGTACTTCTTCTAATTGTCTCAATAATATAATTTTAACGGAGTAATTGATTAAATTTTGACATGTGAATACTCTGAGACTTGTTCTTGTGTTAATGTCAGATTAAAAACGGGACAGCCAAATGAATACAGGTTGATAATAAAAAAAGAAAGAGTCCATTGAACTCCCCTTGCCCTCTTACATTACAAAATACCTTCCCCGGATAAGGGTTAAAATCCCCCTGAAATGGGTGCGGCGCAAGTCGCACCATGCTAATCGATGAGATTTGCTCGTCCCAGCAGGCTGTTGCGCATGTCCGCCGAATATATTTCGAGAAAGAGCGCGAGTACACGTCCTTGATACGTCAGTGGAAGTGGAATCAAGATCCTTAGACGTGTTTTCTTCGAAGCATTGACAAAGTGCCACCGCACTTCGAGCAGAAAGCATCACGGTGAGTTATCGACCTTTCTTGAAAGTAGATGCATCTGCCGATGACAGATGTCATGCCTATTGTCGACATATAACGTAATGGCAAGGTCCTTCTGCTTCAGAGAGTGTTGCCTCTTATAGCGTTACGGATCGAGCCTATGAAATTGCGTGGAATTCCATTCTGTTGGGTGTACATTATAGAAGGATGTGATGTTATGATGTTGGAATTAATTAGACCGAACCATATTTGTAGAAAGAAGACACTGTAAGAAGGGTCGAAGAAGGAATCACTAACTCATTGGAGAGGCCTCTGGTGCCAAGTAAGGGCCGTCGAGGTCGGAATTCGAGACCATTTTGATGGAATCAACTGTGGAAAATGTGAGCGATACTGCCATTAGAAATCGATGTGCCGTCGTTTATCGAAGAAAGAGCCTCACGGTGAGTTACTACCTTGAAAGAAGATGCAACCGTCGATAAAAGACGTAATGTCCGTAACATAAGAAGCATTTCGCTTCAGAGAGCGTTCTCTTCTAATTTCAGGCGTTGAGTCCATGGTACGTCGGATCTCATTTTGTAGATTAAGGTAATTCAAGTCGGCCCGGACCTGACTCGCTTGCAAATGGCAGAATACACTTTCCGGCCTGTTTCGACGCATACTACAAGATTTATGTGTCAGTGGAAAGCTGTCGTCTCTCTCGAAAATACGGAAGGAAGCATCAGGGACCGAAGTACTCCAAGTCCTCGCGAGGATTCGCGTCCGATTCCCGAGAGACGCGCTCTGGTCAATGCTATATATGCAATTATATTCCATCTTCCTTGCAAGAAACGTCGAACCTGGTAATTACATGCATTGCGTTAGGATGAAAGTAAAGGAGTAGGAAAGAAAACTATAACATTTCTGGGGGAATTAAAAATTTGTCAGTAAATGTCTCATTATTAACATTGAGTCTCGATTCCTCCAGAGCTGCAGAATCTTCCGGAATGCTGAATCACACCTGTTGTCGAGCAAGAGGATCCGTCTCAGATATGGATACCATGGCTGTTGCAACTCGGGAATTCGCATGCCAGCTTTTCAAGGTATTTTGCTTGCTTTTATGAACAGGTATGAGTTTAGCAACTAAGCCTAATTTTGGTGCATTGTTTATCTTCACTCAGGAGAATCACGATAGAATATAAAGAATATTTAACATGATACCACTTCACATTCGTTGGAATACTCACTTATGCCGCTAAAAAGAGCTTAACGCGGAAAAGGAAATGGATCATATGGGATTCAAGTTGGTGTTCCCACAGTACTTAGAGGCATTTGCGCCATTGAACGTTGTTGTGAGAATAAACTTTTTTTTTGACAAGTTACTAGGGATGCGGAGCAAGTAAATAGAATACCAATCTTTATGGGGAGGGTATGAAGACGATCCCGAAAATTGGGGACATTTCGGGGAATATCATGACGAGCATTTTAAGGGAGATTTTTCTAGAATTTTTTCGAGGGGGCCGCTCACATGGAAATTTCAACATCTTAAAGAAAGAAATTGAAATATTTCAGTCCCCGCTTCCAATCTGTTTTCCGTCGGGATCGATCATCGATCTAGCTGTGCGAGATTGCAGTAGACTTGCGATAAGAAGTAACGCAGTCACTTTTGAACAAAGCAACCTTTTGCATATATGGTACATTTTCAGGTGGACTTTGGCCTAGGGCAAGGCTGGGCAAACTTTTTATCCTTGGGGCCTCACGAGAAAGCATATAAGCCTTCGTGGGCCACAGAAGCCAGAAATAGGTAAGTATAAAGACATACCAACATCTCAGTGGGACATACAGCTGCCTGCAGTTAAAAAAAAGTATTCCTGCAGCAGCTGGCGGGGCGGTTCGAAATGTTGTCTTGGGCCGCATCCGGCCCGAGGGCTATAGTTTGCCCACCCCTGGTTTAGGGTATATATGAGGCCACGAATCTAAAAGTTAGTGTCTCACCGAATGTACGTAGATGCCACGAAGGTGATTGGGGAGAAGCCGCTGGCCACTACGCTCTTGGAGCACTCGTCGTGAATGCACACGACGCAGAATTTGGGAAGTCTGTCCGCTAATCGAACCTCTACATCCAAACCTGAAGCACAGTCGATAATGGGGTCTGGCTGAAGAGCCTGAGTAATAATAGCAGGAATTCTGAAAGAGGATTTGTCTGTCAATTTCTCTTGTCTAGGAGGGTTTAAAGCTCTCCGCGCTAAGTCGGCTGGAGTCGGGCTCCACAGGGGTTCCTTTTGTCGTTCCCCTCCACTGCGATTCTCATCCTAGGGCCAAATCACCAAGGATATCTTCCCTTTCTCCCTTCCACATGTTTCACGTTTGTGATCCATCTCTTCTTTTCCCCAGGGTTGAACAAGTGCATATCTAATAATCACTGCCATTCGCATTTCTTGCAGCACATCTTATGGACGCTTTCAAGCAGTGAAATGATATTCTGAATCAGATAGGCGCACGTTTCTGCAGAAGATTCCCGATCATTGTAAAATTTCGAAATGATTTCTTCGTATAATAATTTCCATGGATAGCGCCGCTGTGCCTGATTATGACCACTCATCGAAGTGCATATCTAAACAAACGGATGCACCTTCGGCGCTCTAAGCTCTTAGAAAATTTATAATGCATTTTTTGCATCCGTTTTTTATTCTCCCATCTACCAATGTGATAAAACTCTTTGTGTCATAAGCATTTTTCATCCTTTCATGCATGGCTTCAAGTTACTTCTGGACGTGTGAAGTCATTGCCAGCATGATGTTAACAAAATGAAGCAAGCAGAGACTCTTCGATTCCCCTCTTCGAGCTTTTAATTGGATTTTTCCTGAATGCAGTGCCTCCTATAGCAATACTATAAGAATAAGTTTTTCTTGAGGGAAAATGTGTTAAGTTACCTATTCTTCTACCCCAAGAAGGGACATCGAGAGTAGGAGGATCCTTATGATTTTTTCCTGAACCCAAATTTCAAAAGGAAAACATCAGTGGCAATAGGTTTTTATCATTTTTTGCTGGGTTCTAAAGATGGAGGGGGAGGTCTTTCGTGCATTTGTGTGTAGGAGGATCTCAGTCCTTTATTATTGGGTCGATAGGAAAATGATAAAGAATCAGGCTGGACAGGTTGAGTGGGAAATATATTTTAAAAATCCCAAGTGCGCCGTAAATAGAGACCTTCACGGGCTCCCCTTCAAGTCTCTGCCGACGAGAAAGGCTTTCGTTACTTCTTTGACTTGTGACAGGAGACGCAGTGCAGTGGAGGGCTCTTTCTGGAAAAACCAATCACGTGAAGGTAATCCGCGCGTGAAGTGCGGCTAAAATGTTTCCCAAGTTTTTGTTTTCTTCATGACGTCATTCCTTTATTTTGTTACGCAGACAGTTGAAACTTCAAAGCCATGTTACTCGACTTTCTAGTTCTGCATGTATAAAATATGAAGCCCAATCTACTTTTCATTCCAGAGATCTAAGCCATAATGTCACCTGACATTTTTGTCCGATTTCTCTTTTGGCTATAACTTGAATAACTCAGTGTAGTGTTGGTGCACTGGCTTTCTCGAACTAATTATTTTAAAAGACTCAAAGAGGCAGAAGAACTGGGTTAAGCAAAATGTCTGAACACATTTCTCGTACTCAGTTTCGGTGACGGAGCCTACGTTCCGAAAAATAGACGTGAAGCTCTACGCTACCAGTATAATGTTTGAGGGGAAGGATTCTGAATATCAGTTAACTGGAGTTCCACGAAAAAGTGAAAAAAGCTATAATTTATTCCAAATATTTTCCATTTATTTAAAATGAAATGCATAATCAACTTATATGGGCACGGGGAGTCCATTAATAGACGCGGTAGCTCCTATTGCCTTACTCAAACCGCTTCCGGCGACAAAATTCAACCGTCTCGTATTCCTCTCTGAGAGCATCAACAGGAACGAAATTTGGCATACTTCTTCCTCTGTCAACACAGAATCGCTCCAACGAATTGGAAGCTTCATCTCCCCGGAGTTATGGAGATCATCGAATCTCGCTTTTCGGAGATTTTAATTTCGTTCCGGTATTTTTTTTTCTCTCCTCCTGGGAAGTTTTCGGAGGAAAGGTCTTTTTTGTTGCTTCCAGTGCACCATTTCGCCATTTAAAAAAAAATGAAATTAGATGCCATTAATTTACGCTTAGCGTGATGGCTCCGGTCCGTCCTTCAGTGTTGCCAGATATCAGGCCTTAGTTGTGCCAGATTCATGCTTCGGCCATGATTCATTTACTTCGGCCTTAGTATCGGTGTCTGGATCTTCTGTTTTTTAATGAATGAGATAATTTTGTGTCGAGTTCATTAGATGAGCTGAGATTGAAATGGTGGCTAACAGTGGTCGATCGATTTGGCGGGATGTGGAGATATCTCATTCTGACATACGTAAATTAACAGAATGGCGCCCACTTTGTATTCCATGCTTCCTAGAGGCAGGGCCGCCTAGAGGAGGGGGGAGGGGCAATTAGGGAAATTTGCCCCAAGCCCCACGTATCAAGGAGTCCCAAAGGGGGCCTCCAAAGGGCCTCAAGGGGGCTCCCAAGGGGTCTCTGGTTTAGCTTTGCCCCGGGCCCCTGGAAACCTCTGGGCTGCCCTGCCTAGAGGTATTTTCTCCTCAAAACTCATCGAGACGGCTCGAGGAACTCTTAATAGGCTTAACGTTCCTCGTCGGCAGTGGCGTAGGCAGGAAATCGGCAAGGGGGGGGGGGTTGAGGCCAGCTAGACACCCCAACCCTACGCCTAGCTCCACTACCCGGAATTTACATCTTCAAAGAAATCATCGTCTGGCATCTTGGGTCTGTGGACGGACATCAGACTTTCCTCGAAGGGGCATAGCTAAAACTGGAATTCCCAAGGAAGGTTGAAATATGCCTGTCAGTGTCACTGACCGGGAAGCCCAAGGGGGGTCCCCCCATCCCTACGCCACTGCTCGTCCGCACCGAAATGGGTCATAAAACTCGAAACAGACCTCTAATCGGTCCAACGTTACACGTACTCTCTTAGAAGGGCCATGAGAGACTGAATAGGCCTGCGATTGGCCTAACGATACACGTCCTTGACGAGATGTCTGGAAGACCAGGGATTAATCCTTATAGGCCTAATTGTCCCAGGATTGAGTTCATTCTGAATGAAAAAATGGAGGCCTAGGCCTGACCCAAAGACAGTCCGTCGGTAATGCCTAGGCCAAACGTGAGTTCCTAGAGAAGGGGGGGGGGGGGGGGGTAGGTGAGGTTTAAGTTTAGGTTGAAGAAAGGGAAAGGCTTTTAAGAATGGTTTTCACATTACTACACATACCGCATCACTTATCAGGAGAAGAGAATGGGGTTCAGCGGTCCACACTAATTTTCCATCGAAGTGTGGATAAATAAAGAAAATCGATGCCTATCAGAAATTTCAAATCTCGTATCTGCAAGTTATTGCTATGACTATAGATAAAACAATGGAAATTACTTCGAACTGGTGCGAAACACCTTTCCCTGAATTTAATTTCACGGAGTAAAGGTGTTGGAGCCCCATGATAATAGCATATTGGAGTACTTCTGCCTAAAGTATGGTACTATTCGAGCGCGCCATTTGCAACCTGACGGCCTCAGTGGGGGGTGTCCATATAACCCAACATGTTAGTATAACCCATCTTTACCCTACGTTGAACCAGTTTATCCTAAAAGTTGGACATTTGTGCGAAAAATATCGTGTTGGCGTGCCGTTGCTGTCCCCGCATGTTGCTTGTAGGTAAATTCCTACAACTTAGATGGCATCCAATCCGAGTCTTTGATCTTGCAATGAGGCCTGCTCTATGTCCTTTTCATCTCGTGTAGCAGTCACCAATTCTTGAATTGATTGTATACGGAACAAATACGGAACTTGTCATGTTGCAGTATGACTTGCTAACGATATGACTAAACACAAACATTTGACAGTGAGAAAGATTAATAATAATTTACATAGATATATAGAGTGGGCCACTCATGGGTCGCTCAACGTGAACAAGCCGTAATAATTTCTACTTCAGTCTGCGAAATATCATCTGAACACCGAAAGAAAGGTTATCCTCTAAATATTAATAATAGCAACATTGCATCCATTATATCGACCTAATCGCGAACTATGCATAGTACCATAGTATAGTAGTAAGGCCGATGCAAGCACTCGAAGTTATCATGTGTAAGTAGCGTCAATCACATGGCCCTTTCCTTGCGTGTTTGAAACAGTAGCTTTGTCAGTTATAAGTAGGGCTGTCAATTCGATTAGATTAATTGACCAATTAATCGATTAAAGTATTAATTGCGATTAAAAAAATTAGTCGAAATGAATAGAATTTTAATCGATCCCCCCTATCTTCCCCTGAATGCCCCTTTTTCCCTCTTATAATTTGACTGTGTAGTTCATAGTTTTGGAAAGCAACCGAAAACGAATGCTTTATCAAGGGAATGAAATTTAATGAGGGCTTATAGAAGGTTGTCGTTTTCGCACTGCTCACTTTTCTTCAAAAATGAAAATATTTTTGGAAAAAGGGAACACACGCAAACGAAGCTATCGCTCTCAGACTATTCCAAAATAAAAGCTTCCTGACTCATTCGCATCCACAAGTATACTGGTACGCATCCCGTATAGCCCTGCAGGCCTCGCGCGTCAACCGAAGGTAGCAGCAGCCTAGATAGACCGAAAAGTCACTGGATGCGAATGGGGAAAAGAAAATAATAATAGGGGAATTTGACAGGGACGTGGAATTGGAGAGGCGGGATAGAGGATAATGTAAAGACTGGGGGTGAGAGGCGTACGTGTAAGTGCGCCGGCGAAGATTTGTGGGAGTCCCCAAGAAGTAACCGGGTGAGGGGGAAAGCTGGGAGCGGGCGAGAGAAGCTGGGAAAGCGAAAGTGTGAAACCCTCTCCTTTTCCTTGCTTTTTCTGCTCTTCCATCCTGTGTTGCCATGAATGAATTATGAATCTTTGAACCTCTCAATGCTGAGTTTTTGAAGCTCTACCTCTGTATTGGGTAACCCGGCGAGTATACTCGCCCGTAGCACAGAAAGGGTTAAATCTCCGCGTAATAAAGTGTCACTGTAAACCTCCAATCATTTAGGTTACATTTTTGCATCCTTCTAGCATGGGTTGGCTAAACGGGAACTGTCCTGAGTGCGCTTCCTTGCTTACTTTTCATTATTCCTCTGGCTACGTTGTAATTATTTCCTTTCCGATTGGAATGCGTCGCACATAGGTTGAAATAATGTATGTATGGATGGTAACTGTTATGTTAGCAAGTACATCACCTTGAGGCACTTCCTGAGGCTCGCCTAGGTGTTGGACATGACACAAGTGGAATCACGCCTAACGCCTTGGACATGATTCCAATTGTCTGGCGCGTGATGTCTACAATAGACAACGTTTGCCCGAAGTGAACGTTGTATAAGGCAGTGCTTCTCTATCAAGAGCCACTGTGGTCTTCATCGCCGAGCACCGCGAGACAAAGGGCACGAACTCTTGTAAGAGATGTGGTTTCTGCATCACGATATTGCTCACCCATCGCTGGAGTAGGGCAGAATGCTGCAGCTGCAGTTGGTGCTGAAACCCTATCACATCCTGCTCATTCCCCAGTCCTGGTACCGGTGACTCTTGACTATTTCCAAAACCAAATAACCTGAAACCTGCAAGGACTCCGTCCGATTCAAAGGCGATATGGAGCTGAAAGCATCCATAACGAAAGAGCCTTTACACAAGTCAGAAATTGGCCTACGGGAGGCACATGATTCATGAGCACATCGCTTGAAAAGACGTATCCCATTGTTAGGGAATCATATCGAAAACGAGTTCGTTCATCAGAACCTGAAAATATGCGGGAAGGCTTTTACATTTAGTTTTGATACTTGATGGATGAACAGCTACCGTATTTTCGCCATAGTTTGGGAGATGAAGCAAACACTCTTAATGTCGAATGACTGATAAAGTGGCTATAACTTTAACAAACACGCATATAAGTCTCCCATATAGATTTGGCTGAATAGGGAGGTATTTGGACATCAGTGACAAAGATTCATTCGTGTTCCTGCAGTATTGATTCTCTCCTTTGTTGGTATTTCATTCCTAAAAAATTTAGTATTTTGTTCATCTACAGTTTATCTTATACGATTCTTTCTTCACTGTCAGACTGTTGGAAATTATGAGCCCGCGAACTTCGTGTTCTCGCCGGTGAGCGTAAGCATTGGCCTTGGGATGCTGTATGGAGGTGCACGGTCTGACACAGCTGAGGAAATGAAGGATGTCATGCATTTCGACAAAGATCCACATCTTTTCTTCGAAAAACTCATCGCTTCCTTGAATGTGAGTAGGTTTTCATTTTGCCAGCCGTGATCATTGGACCTTTGGTTGTGAAACTTTTAAATCCCAGAAACCTTTTGAAACTTACAGTACGAATAATGAGAAGACGCAGCTGTTAGATGTTTTGTAACGTTGAAATATCTATAATAAAAAAGTTTCGAAATACATCCAATCCAGTTCTGATGGCGAAGACAAAGCGATGGCTCTGTCTTTCCATAGGTGTTCGAAGTTCCTGAGTCTGACGCTGCCATAGATGCAGACCATGAGACCCTTGACCGAAAATCCGTACCCATCCCTTCAGGACTACGTGTCGACCTTCAGAAGGAGTAGAATTTTATTGCACCAAATAAAATTGCTCATCCTCCTGCCACTCTAAGAGGTCAAGAACTGGTGAAAGTTGGCGATGATTTACGCAAAGGGAGACAACAGTTGATGGCAAACTAGTACGATTTTCCATGAAGGACACCCAAATAAGCAAACACCATCGAGCCGGTGCATTTCAGATTTTATAGCGAAATTCCGGGAAACCGTCAGTGTTTCCATTCCCAAAAAATCTGGACGGCCGAAAACAACAGGGGAAAGCAACAGCACTTTTGGTTCAAGTGTCCACACACCCGCAATAATCAACGCGAAAGATGAGAGAGCTGTGGGCATTAGTGAAAAGTCAGTCAGACGAATTTAGAAGCTCAACAATATCCATCCATACAAGTTCCTCATCGTGCAAGAACACAACGATTATGACTTCTATCGCAGTATTGCCATTTGTGGAATATTCTATTAATAAGTCTGAGCGGAAATTATCGCAAGCAAATCGTTGAACCTTTCTTCATTGAAGTAAACATATCCGGCGAAGTGTTCCTGGATTTGCTCCAAAATTCAATCAGATCAGCCATTACCAAGACAATCGAGACAGAATTGGAAGACCTTGACGAACCCTCTCTGGACGAAGACAATATGATGTACCAGCAAGATGGAAGGACTTCTCCTTCATGTGAGGGCAGTGCGTGAGTAGATGGGCGAAACGTACCTCAAGAAATGAATCTGACATCGTGGAGCATATGAGTGACCGACCAGATCTCCTGATTTGATTCCTCTGGATTTATTTATACGGGGCCATCTCAAAACCGTTGTATATCGCACTCAACCGCACACTGTCGATGAACTTAAGCCTGAAATGCAACTGCATGCAAGGAAATCATAGCCGAAACACTTGGGCTTATCCTTGCAGACGTTGAAAATTACTACTGTCTTGAGCAATGTGGTGCACAATTTGAACAACCACAGCAGGAAACCACTACCAGTGAAGAAACCAATGGCCTTTTTAGGATCACCAAAACAACAAAAACACTGACTTGCATGTGCAACCATCGAGGGGCCCTTTGAAAAGTGAATTCTAGCAAAAGTCGTATGTTCCCTCGCTTTTGCCGCATCTTATCATCTGGAGATGCGATCGTCGACCGCATCTTCTGGGCATCTGCAGGTATTTGGCAGCTCCTGTGAAATGTGGTTGCAGAAATCGGTCTTTCCCGAGTGGGCTAATTCTTAATTTTTAACAGTGCTTACCTCCTCACCTTCACCCATGCCCATGACTCGGGGTTATATCGGAAAGAATCATACCTCTGATAGAAACAGCCGATATGAGTTTCAGACGTAGCGTGACCATGTCATGTTCCGTGGGTTCCAAGGTCTAGCAGTTACTCCACCGTTTTGAAAGTTCTCAAGTCTGAGGGTTTCAACACCTTGCCGCATGACCTCCGAGAGATTTAGGACATAATTTATTGGTCCAGGATCACCGGCAAAAGGCCTGTCATTAGACGAGGTAGATCTCCATCTTCCCTGATCTGTGCAGTTTTTCCTTTTCAGGTAGCATTTTCAGGTAGTATTTTCAGGTAGCATAATATCTGCCAAAATTAGGCGCCCCCCCCCTACTCACAGAGGCTTTCCACAAAGAGGATTACATTCGAAGGGATTCCATTCAATGAAAAGAACATCATTGAAGGGGGACCTGGAGATTAAAACAAAAGTCATAGAGTGAAAGATCTTCCCAGACTCAGACGTCTAGAAGAAGAAGAGGGTTATATTCCAGAATCCAGAGGAAGTAGTAGAGAAAGCTGGCAGGAATTTTTTCACTACTCCAGCAAGAATTCTAAAGGTGCAGGTGTTCATTTTCACTCTTACATCGTGACCATTGAAAGTTTTAAATGAAATTTGAGGCTGCCAATTCTCAGTCATAGAGGCACGTCTGTGCCAAATATCAAGTGCTATTACAATTGTTATGTCATTTTTCTGAGAGGATAGCGTGATTCAAATCCTTCATTCCAGGATTCAAATGAAGCAGCGATCATGAAGATGGCAACCAAGCTCTATGTGAGGAAAGGCTACGAGGTCACCAACTCTTACAAGAATCTTCTAAAAGAATCCTACAAGAGTGACATTCAGGAAATCAGCATGGATGATCCTGGAAGAAGGGTCATCAACTCTTTTGTGGAGGAAGTAACGAACAACAAAATCAAAGACATCATCCCATCAAGTTACATTCTACCCATCTTATCTACCGGGTGGTGCACATAGATAGTCCCCCCCGCACAGCCTAAACTATCTGATTGGAAAGAAAGTTCTCGGAATTTCATGAACAATTATTACAACCCAGTTTATTTAAAAGCAAAATCATATCAATCATGAATGTAATCACCATTGGCCTCTATCACTTCACGCCAACGTTTATGCAAACTATGGATGCCATTCCAATAGAACTCTGGCGGCTGCGCTACGAAAAAGTTGGCCAAATCGGTTTTCAGGTCGTCTCGGTTGGCGTACTGCTTTCCACCCATGTGACGGTCCAGGGCAACGAAAAGGTGATAATCGGACGGGGCAAGGTCGGGGCTGTAGGGCGGATGCGGCAGCACCTCCCAGCACAGGTCCAGTAACTTTAGATGAGTCTGTCTAGCGGTGTGCGGCCGGGCATCGTCGTGGAGGAGGATGGTTCTCTGTCTTTCTGGGCGTGTTTCAGCCAGTTTCTGCTGCAGCCGATCGAGTTGCTGGCAGTAGTAGGCAGCAGTGATGGTGGTGTTTTGCGGCAACAGCTCAAACATGATGATGCCTTTCGAATCCCAGAAGACCGAGAGCATAATCTTTTTGGGGTGCAACTCCTGACGGGGTTCTCTTTCGGCCGATGCTCCGGCGTCCACCCACTGACGTTTTCGTCGAATGTTGGCATAGAAGGTCCACTTTTCGTCGCCTGTCACCACTGAGTCTAGCCAATCCGTTCGGCGCGAACGTGACAGAAGGGAGATGGCCATGTCTACTCGTCGCTGGCGGTCCCGATCATCCAGCTTGTGGGGTACCCAGCACCCCAACTTTGCCTTCTTGCCAAGCTCAGCCAGATGATGAAGGATAGTTGTATGGGAGACACCCAGCAAGTCCGCAAGCTCTCGCGATGTTTGCCGGTTGTTGGCCTCCAGTGCCTCCTGCAAGGCAGAGTTATCAAACTCCGAAGGACGACCGGTGCGTGGCTGGTCTTCCAGGCTTTCATTTCCTTTCTGGAAGCGACTGTACCAATCATAGGCAGTGCTCTTGGACACAGTGTCCGGGCCAAACGCGGTATTGATGTCAGCGATGGAATTGGCTGCCTTCTTCTCGATTCGGAAGTCATAAAGAAGAAGCAGGCGAACTTGCTCCTTAGTAAGAGGGTAGGGCTGGTTCATGGCTGGAGAGCACCAGGGCTGTAATAATATACGGTTGTATGCCGAAGGACACGACCTACTTATAAACACACGCAGAACATTCTAGCATGCTCTGGAAAAAAAATTGTACTGGATATTCAAGAAATTCCGAGAACTTTCTTTCCAATCCGATATAAGAGCTAGGAAAAAAAAAAGCTCATATCATGAGAAAGAGCATTCATTTTGAATTGAAACATGTGTTCACGAAACCCATGAACGAGTTACGAAATCATCTCCAGCATTACGAGCTTTTCGAAACGGAAGTTCTAGGATGCGATCAAAGTTCTTCACCATCATCTCATCAGAAACAATAAAATGGGATTGAATAGAATCAAAATTGAAAAGGATTCCAAGTACATGGAAAAAAATGTTTCTAGCTCCTATTGTTTAGGAGGAGGGGGGTTATCTATTTGCAACACCCGGCACATGTTTCATTATTTTATCTTTGCAATCTCCAAAAGCATTCAGGAAACATTTTGTGTTAAGCTCAATGGTCTTTAATGCCTCATATCATCATAGGGGTCTTGGATGAATTGACAAGTCTGGTGCTGCTCAATGCCATCTACTTCAAGGGCAGTTGGGAAATGCCGTTCCTCCCGGAAAAAACCCGCACATCCCATTTTCGAGTGACCGAGAAAGAAACCGTGCCGGTTTCCATGATGTTCATCTCAGAAATTTTCCCCTTCGGTAGAGACAAGTACCTCAAGTGCAAATACGTCAAACTTTCATATGTTGTGAGCGTTGGCAGTACCAGTAACTTTCATACGAACTCAACCAATATTTTATAAAATGGTGCCCAACAATCACGGATTTCGCGATAATAAATTCTCAACTATTGCAGTAAATCTAACAACCTCGTAAAAAATAAGAATCAACCACATTGAATCTGAAATTGGCGAGATATCAGCCCCGAACTTAGCTGGAAAACGGAAAAAACTCCATGGATGGCAACAATCTCATATCACAAACCGTTCATCGCAAGGAGGCGTGCAATGACTTGAACCAGAGCTCTTCAATATTTGAATAATTCTCCCCATACATTCTCGGCGGTTGTATGAGCTTTCAGCATCATAGTTGAGTTTGAAAAACGTGAAATTTCGGCCATTTTGGTCCCCCCAATAAATTACGTGGCGAGGGGAAAAAAATCTCCCGTTAGGTTCTCGAGGAGTTCAAACGATAACACCCGCAACTGTAACTGTTTCTGCAGTGGAAAAGCAGAAAGGACAACACAATCGGCCGAGCCTTCTCGAAATACAGGAATATCAGGAGTCAGGGTATCAGGAAGAGACTAAATCCTCCAGGTCCAGTCGGGAGAAGGAACCAATTCCTTTCCTGGGAAAACTACTCAGTTTTCCTGAAAGTAAGGTCGTTGAGTGAACGAAACGTGCATTGCAAAGAAGTTATATACAAACAATCCGATACGAATTCAAATCGTCATTAGAGGCTTTGAAATGCATTGGTAGTGATGCACAACACGACTACATTCTGCCACATGAACAAAACGTGACATTTTTTAAACCTCACTCAATGCAATTTTTTTTAGAGGCAGGCGCAACAAAGTATGTATCGTTGGAAAGATCTCGAGCTCACCTTTCTAATGACACCACCATGACATCGTAAGTGCTTCAGCACATAGAGAAATGCTCGACCAAAGATGAACAAAAATGGAAAAATTCCCAATTTGTAGTAAATTTTTCGATTTGTAGCAGGCAAAAATCCAAGAAGTAATTTGAGGCGCATGAAAGAGGAGTTCGACTTCCCGTAACGAGAGATTTCTCATTTCCCCCGCCACATAGGTCATTTGGGGGTAGGGGAGGGTGAAATTGACATGTTAAAACTCAATTATGATACTGAATTCTCATTCAAACCCCGATGATGTATGTAGCGATTGTTTACTATGGAAGAGCTTCGGATGAAGCTATTGCACGCCTCCGTACGATGAGCGGTTCCTGAGCTGAAAATTTACCTGTCCATGGGGATTTTATATTTTCCCCGAGTTTCTTCCACCCATCAACTTCATCGGGGCGTACAAATAGCATTTCCAGCTCATTCCCCTGAGATTGCAAAAAAAGCATGTTTATTTTATCAATTTTTTTTATGTTGAATATGTTTTTGTTTTGTTTTTTTTTTTTTTTTTACTGGGTTGTAAGATTCACTGCAATAGCTGCGAATTTCGTTCCGAAATCCGAGATGGCAGGCGCACTGCCTGGTTGAGTTCGGATAGAATGACCGCAGGGCGGTATTGGAACCCTGTTGCCTATTTCACATATTCAACATAAAAAAAATTGATAAAATAAACATGCTTTTTTTGCAATCTCAGGGGAATGAGCTGGAAATGCTATTTGTACGCCCCGATGAAGTTGATGGGTGGAAGAAACTCGGGGAAAATATCACAGGGGGCATAATTGCTAAATGGAGCCGAGAAGGGGAATTAACGGAACTGGACTTATATCTGCCTCGCTTCAAGGTCGAACGGGATATTCCCATGAAGAAAATCCTCCGAGAGGTAATTATATTTACTAGTGCATTGTTCTAATGTCCGAATCACAAATGCAACTTAACTGGTGTACAGTTAACCCTCGATATACCGCCACTCTCGCTTATCGCCAACTCTTTCCTGAGAACGAATCTTCCCTATAGACTTACCACAGTCGCTCCCCCGTTATAGCGCCACCGTTGCTGGCCGCCATCAGCTAACACCTTCACTTGCACAAACGTGATGTTGATTTAAGGAAAAATTCAACTTTTGTTATGCGTCTCCTCAGAGCACAGCTTTTGGGTGCTTTTCACAGCTTTTCCAAATACATTTTTTTCCGCCAGCAAAAAGGGGAAACGTACGTGGGTATAAGGCTGAAACTGGGTGGCATGGAGAGTTCTGAGTCTACATTTAAGAAGAAAAAAAAACTTTCGTTAAAACCCATCAGGGCACTTTTTTAAAGTCCTATTTTCCTGAATTTTTTTTTATCCAACGAAGCAGAAAGAGAAAATTTAAAACTCCCTCAGAAGTACCTATTTAGTGGCTGAGTAGAGGAAAAATCCTACTTTTGAAATATGTCCCATTAGCGTAGATTATAGGAGGGAAGTATTTCAAAATGTCTTCTCCACCCTTACAAAAAGGGACACAAGAAAAGATTTCAAGTTAGGCACACAAGAAATCATAGAAGTAATGATTTTCGTTTTTCGTGACAAGACTTTCGTCCCCATATGTCACGTATTTCAGTGGGGACGTACTTTAAATACGTGTTTGTTATTTCGCAAAGAATAAATGAATTAATCACTATCCAAGGTAATGGAGCGCCGAAAGCGCGACCATAGCGCCATAGTTAAAAATAGAACTGATTGGGTGTAATCATGGATGAAATAGATAGAACCTTTTTCAAAGCTGTGTAAATGGTGCATTCTCAGGCATGGCCCATTGGAAGCGTGGATTTAAAGTGAAAATTTGTGAGGATTTTATATAAATTAGTATATTACAAAATTCTCCAATTCAAAACGATGAGTTTTAGCGATTTAGCACCACCCTCGATAAAGCGCCATAATTGGCTGAGATCGTTGTGGCGGTATATCGAGAGTTGACTGTACATGGTATTGTTAAACTTGTTTTCTTCACAATTGCAATGGTATGCTTGTTTTCTGTGACTCATTGTTGCTATGATTGATGGGGACTCAAACATTGAGACTAAGAGCTGTGGGCACTATATTCTGCGCATAATCTTCAACAGATGGGCTTGAGAAAGATCTTCTCAGAGAGAGCAGATTTATCTGAGGTAGATGGGAAAAAGGATCTACATGTGAGTGATGCTTTCCACAAGGCCTTCATTGAAGTGAATGAAGATGGGACAGAAGGAGCTCCAGCTCCAGGTGAGAGATTGGGATGTCATCCTCGTTATCCTCCCTTGCCTGCTTCTGCAAAGTTGCTTGTCCCACATACACTCCCCTCCAAAAGCCTTGCAACCCTTTTTTGTGAGCTAAATTCTCAGTACCTATGGCATCATATGCAAAAAAATTGTTATTTACACGGACCGCTTTATCTCTTACCTTTGCAAAGCGCCCATTCATGTCATGATTTGTTCCATCGTTCTTCCAAATTTTGACTCAGAATCCGTCTGGTTCGGTTTTTCAGCGTGGAACAATTAAAATCCGTCCCCAACCGATTGTTTGAAAGCCTACTTCTCTTGCATGCCATGTGAGAAGCACGTTTTCCCTAGGCAGCTATAGGCAAAGGCTCCTGTCACTGTCCTCCACAACCCTTGCCAGTTTTCGGAATGCGCAAGCATAGGTTTACTGATTTCGACGTGGAATGAGGATATAGGGGTGAGGGTGGTGCAATTGATGACACTAGTTTCCTTTTTTGCCTTCGAATCCCTTTCCAATTGGAACATTTTGTTCTAGGATTTGGGTGCCGCACATGTGCTTGTGGTTCGTGCGTAAAGAAAGAGATCCTCCGCTTTGACCGACCATTTGCTTTCTTCCTTTTGCATCGAGAGAGTCAAACCATTCTCTTCGCTGGGATTGCAGTTCGACCTTCTCCTTCTCCGTGAGATTATCAGCTTTCCCTTTTTTTTTGCTCATTCTGTTTGACCTATGATGGATAATACGGACGATTCATTCCGGTCTAGGTGCAATCATACACTGGCGGAAAATACTGTACATTCACCATTCCTCTCAATACAATGGTTTCATTTCAGTTTTAACGTCTCGAGACTCGGGTTTAGTCTGAAGTAATTGGGGTATTCTTTGCTGTGTTGGAGATGCCCACCATTTATGAGGACAGCAAAAAAAAATATTTTCGAACAAATTTCAAAGCTATTGGGAAATTTTCGAAATAAATAAATTCTCTAGTTAAGAAAATCCGGATGGCTAAGTCTCCCGAACGACCTATCCAATCTATTGCATTGGATTGCTAAACGATCATGTGATATCGTTTTTAGCATAACATTTTTTAGAATGTTAATTAGAATTCGTAAACAAAGGATATCTAAGTGTTTCGGAAGTGAAGTAGTTTGGGTGGTGTGGCTGCCTTCATATCGAGGGGGTTAAAAGCTGTCTAGCACAAATATTCACTGGAATTAACTGCATATATTCACATTGAAGCCTAATAAAAAATAGTTATGCGTTCCATATAAATAAGTGTACCGGAGAAAAGTTATTAAAACTAATAGGAATATGTCCTATATAGTGATACTCATATGATTTGAAAATTGTTTAAATCAATAGCACTTCTTCCTGATAGTGCAAATAAACCACCTGGTAGCTGAAAGTTCTGGATGAATAAAAATGCATTTCATTTCATTTTTGCCTAAAAGGTGGCCTAATGAGGCTTGTACGAAGAAAAATTAAGGATTTCTTTGACTTTTTATATGTTCATCAGTTAAAATTGTCTTTGTGAAATGCTTTGATTATTTTAGAAAAAAGGGTTTCCCCGGTCTTCAAACATGGTAGGCATCTACACGGAAGTGTCGGTCTCAAGCCCAATGGATTGAACGAGGCGTCACAAGAGGTTAAACAAAAAATTCTGGGTAGTTAGGAAGTGGGAAATCCATTTTGCTTTGGAGCGTTTTTTTGGGCTAATCCAGAAATATTGCGAATAATAAATTTCTTTCACTTCTCCGATATATAGGATATACTGTATAGATTTCGTTCCATGGAGAGAAAACTTTTTCTGCTCCATTTACTTACATTGTGGAGCTCATTGTGATCACATTCAGCCAATGGTACTTGATAACATTATTGATACCCCTCTATCCTGATAATTCTAACTGGAGACACCGAGTTTGCTTTTTAAAAATCTTATTTCACGTTCTCTTTCTATGCCTTTGAGGAGAATAGCTATGCTTGAATTTCGTGGTGTATGTGTGTCCTGCTTTTGCTCAATCCAGAAATTCTTGTTCAAGGACTTGGCAAGGAAAGAGGAAAAGAAACTGAGAAGGACGTCGTTCTTTCCTTAGACCGACCCATTCACTTCCTTCCTACTGCAAGGACGGAAAAGACCATTCTTTTCTTTGTGATTTGCCCCTTCATCCACTCCATATTCTCCTCAACCCTTTCCGGACAGAGTCTTCTGCGCGCGGCTGCAGCTGGGTCCCAGCTGGGTTTATGTCAGAACGTCAACAAGAGGGATCACGCACGCCCAACCGTACTGGTACGGCGAAGTGCGGAGAAAGTTAAGGAGTGTGGGCTTAGCGGCGGACCTCACCGAGGAGTGGAGGAGGAGCCACCCCCTACCGGACACCTCCCACCTCCAAGAGACCTCCCACGGACCGGGACAAGGGGGTGGAGGCGAGACTAGAGAGTGGACAGTGACTGTGTGGATGTGATCGTGTGACATTGTACAACGGTGTGTATTGTATGTCTGGATTGTATAGGGACCTGTAAATTATTCCCGTCGCCCTTGACGTATCAACTTCCCTCCTGCCTGGTGCCTGTAGACTATTGAGTGAGTGGTATCCATCCAATATATCTATTGTTATTGTTGCTGACCAGCCTAGTCCTTCCGAATCTCACCGGTACTCATCTAATTGGAGTCAGTACATATAGTAGGGCCCTTTTTCGTACACGGAGAACACGTAATACCATTCGGCGGCCGCGCCCACAGGAGATACATTTTTATTTTTTTAATGTCCCTCCCTGTGAATGCTGTAGAACACTTGAGTTGCTATTTATGCATTTCAGAACTTATAAGAGTCACTTTTAGACACCTATGGCTCATCACTTATGTATATGAATATATTACCTGTACCTTCCTACTCTTTTTCCAGATTTCCCCTTATTTTGGTGCTCTATATGCCAAAAATGGAAAATATACAGCGACAAAGTCTGTTTCCACATCCCCAAACTTCTCTGCTAAAGATTATCTCTATTCAGACTACTCAAGTAAATGATATTTTTGCTTTCTAGAACTGCAGAAGAGAATATTGCAACTTTCAGCAGGGAAAAAAAATTTATAAATTAATTTACCATAGCTTTCTTGGGGCATCGGTAACCAGGTGGTAATGGTAATACCTAAAAATTATCAGTAAGTAATCCCCTCTTTGCAACCGGTAATTTTACATTCCTACCATCACGGCGGCCTACTACTGCGACCAACTGGAGAGATTGAGCCAGAAACTCTCTCAACGGCTCGGCCGGGACGTGACAAAGTGCTGTTCCTCCACGACGATACCCAGCCGCATTCCGCAAAGATGACCGGGCTCAAACTCCTCGCCCTCGGATGGGAGATTCTGCCGCACACACCTTTTCCCCCGGACCTTGCTCCGTCGGACTACTTCCTTTTCTGCGCCCTGCAAAACCGCCTCAAAGAGAAAAAGTTCGACGGCCAGAAAGACTTTGAATGCTACTTGGGACAGTTCTTTGAGTCTTAGCCCACATCGTTGGACCACAGCGGAATCCTTTCCCTGGCTGGAAGGTGGAGACATGTAGTGGAACACAATGGTGCTTGCATTTTTTTTTACTGATATTGAATAGTTGCTGAATAAAATTGTTTTCTCAAATATTGTCTGAAACTGCAATAACTTTTCGGCCAACCCAATACATCTTATATATTAATCGGCAAGTGGCCGTCCGTCTGAAACGCTCTGCGTAGTCTAGTCGAGGTTTGTCTCTCTGTCTGTCCTGCATGGGTCGACTTTTCCTCACTCTACCCGACGACCTCTCAGCCTGGGCCCGACCCGAAACCACCCTACATAGCTTAATCCGATACTACATGAGCAGCACTTGCAGACCATGTCGGGCAGATCCGACCGACCCGCAAGCCCGCTTATGCCTCTGAGCGGGTTCGGACTTGGCCTCCTGGAGAGAGTTGAGATCCTGCACATGCGACGCAATCACATCAGGGATGTCCGTTTCACTATAAAAACATGAGAAGCCCATACCTCCGTCTGTAAGTTGAGGGGTAAAAGTGGAACATTGCATTTAGATGGTCAACTGTCTTCGATTAGTTCTGTATTAATCGGTAAGTGTCCGTCCGTCTGAAACACTCTGCGTAGGGCGAGGGCTTCCACCCGGGATTTTCAACTTTCTTTCAAAAACTCTCTCACATTTTGACATAGGGATCCCGCCTCGGACCTCATCGAAATTTTATCATTTTCGCCTCACATAACTCAACGTACGACAGTCGCAAGGATAAATTGAGAAGAACACCACCTCCCTCTCTCTCATCCCTGCACATCCTTCTGATGCATCCTTCTAGGAGCGACGCCGAATCCTATGCATCCATCCATATCTGATGACGTAGATTATCATGCTGTATCGGCATGACATGCTGTAGTAAGCCACGGGCTAGAAACGAATTCTGATTTTCCTGATGTTCATGGACCTGGCCTGGCGCAAGATGACCTGAGGATCGTGTTAGTTTTTGAATTTTTTAGTGAATGTAATTATCGTACTGCTTAGTTTATGGCTCACATGGTTTTTGGGATTTAATTGCCTCTCAGAACGAAAGAGTCGCGTAGCGACGCGAGCGCAGTTGGTATGGTAGTATCAAGGAGCATGCATCGCCAAATGGGGGATTAAACATTTTTTTAAGAAGCGACTGAGAACCTATCCAGTGTTACCACCCCAGTAACACCAGATATTGACTCAATGCTGGACCAACATGGGCACGATGCCTATACATCTTGCCATTATTGCCAATATCTGCTAAATATTGGCTTTCCGGTATTGCCATTCCGTCATCGAATATCAGACTGACGGGATGATCCAATGTGCCCAATTTGCAAGGAGGAGTTTTTTGCGGAATTATTGAAGTTTTCCTTCAGGCCGCTAGATGGAGATATGGGTCTCGCTCTTCGCACAGGACACAAAAGAGCACTTCTCATTTTCCATGGAATTATCCCTCACAGGATTGTTTAGCACCTCACCATATGTTTTTCTTAGTCTCATTATAGCCATCAATAAAATCGGACCCTTAATCATTTATTTTTCCCATATTCGAGACAGAACCATGGAGCCTAGGCCATAAATAAGCTCATCTTCCACATGAAACCCCTTGGATGCGGATACGCTTTAAAGGGATTTATTAAAGTTCAATCAATTGCAAGTAATTTTGACCTTCGTTTTTCAGTCTCTGGGGGCAGAATGATCATTCTGTCCCTAGGGGAGGCATTGAGAATTTGAGTATTCTACCGGTATTCTACACAACAGGAAAGGTAGGACCGTCTCTGAAATATACTAAAATGAGTACATTCCGAAAGTCAGATATATCATATATTTCTTAGCCGTCATTATTGACCAAATGTTGGGGTGCTGCTAGGGTGGGAGTGAGCATTCCAATAAGTGACATTGCAATGTTGGCTCAACGTTCAGCCAGTGTTGATTTCCAACGTTCGTCTGAGGTTTCCAATAGCCGACATTGAAACATTGAATTAATGTTCGATGCAACGCCAACACAACAGTAGGAAGGTTCAAATTTAACGTTCATACAACGCTGAATGTTCATTTGTTTGCTGGGATGCGATTTTGTTTCGGAGGAATTCTGAAATTCACAAGGGAAGAAATTTGACCGTCATGTCAAATGTTTTCGACATGCCATGCAGAAAACAATTGACATGGCGGTCATCGCAGACGATGCAACAGAAAGAGAGCAGGGAGAAAAGAAGTGCTGATCTCTAGCCGAGTACAGATTAACTACAAGTGGGCAGTCTAATTTTGGAAACTGATACAAATTAATTTTCTCCCTTCGACATTTCCCAAAAGCGGGACATGTTGGTAGCCCTGCTTTTTGCTTTTTTCATCGGGGGACACCGGGACAGGTGGCTTGAAAGTGGGACTGTCCAGTCTAAATCAGGACGTCTAATGTGTGAGTCAAGTGAAAAATTGTATGACACACAAGTTAAAAACTGCGCAGGGATTTTCGAAGGATGGTCTCCCTCCGTGTTGTGGCGGAAGCGGGAAGTATTTTATTCCTACTTCGGTAATTGAAATTGCCAGGAGCAGTTCTTTTGTAACAGCAGATTTCGCTAAATTGGATGACATGTTGCGGTACTCTGAAGGGAGGGGCGGGGGACTGCAATGAACGAAACTCACTGTACCATCTTTTTCCAGGGTTCCTTTGTCCATTTCCATTATGGAAGGTGTACCTTCACCTCCTTGGAATTCACAATTGAAACAACGTTGCATATTTTAGGTGGTACTAATTCATTGGCAAGGCAATGTATGTGAAAAAAATCATCATTGGTGGAAAGAACTTGGGAAAAAGTTTTAGTATTGTGCGGAGGATCGCAAGCAAGCCTCTAGAAGCCTCAACATGTATGGCTAACCTTGCTGTTACACAAAGGTGGGGGTATGGCAAACTGTAGGCGCAAAAAAATTTTCTCCCACGTTTGGCCTAAATGTTTCAAGTGTATAATGGCTTCAGTATGTTTCAGTAGCTAAAGATATCTAGTCCCTTGCCGATTTCAAGCATGTATTCAGCCAGCTCATTTGAACAGCCAAAGGAATCAAGAGATTGAAGTTCTTGGGCTTGAGTGGGCCTACGTGTACTTCTTTAACAAATGTCAGCAACTTATATTCCAAGACTTCCAAGCCTGAATGTCTTGGAAGTTAGATTAACTGAAATGAGGACCATCGGAATGTTAATGTGAGAAGGCAGAAATCCTTGAACCATCAGACTCTCATGGAATCCAACAATCACAAGGATGTAAAAGGTCTTCACAGATCTGCCAGCCTCTTTTAAGGAAGTCCTTTGTGTTGCTATAGGAGGAGGTGACTTTCTGATGTATCACGTGGGACAAAAAACTCTGCTGGTGAATTTCAGAATACTTTAATTACTCTTTGCTGTTTAGATCAATCATGTGATCATGCCAAATGAATTGAGTTCATTCAATTGAAGAAACCCAGAGGCTTCTTATAAAGCAATATGAAGATGTCCTCTCAGCTTTGAGCTAAATGGGGAGTTATATGTAGCACAGACCGTTGCTTTGCCGAGTCAAGTAGCCAACTATTGTTATGAGGCAGTCATTAACCACTAAGGTGGATTGATGTGAAGAATATGTAAGTGGAACAAGAAAGTCAGGAATTTGACACAGCTGAGACTAGAACCAACTTTTTTTTCTGACTGTCAAAGAAGCTAAAAAACTGGAATTGTGTAATATCTGGTCTATCTTTCTCTGTGACCTGAAACAATGCCATAGTACCCTGTCCCCTGCAGTCTCAATATCACATCTGCTCAACATTATGATATTCATTGCTTGTGCTTAAAGTTTATGCAACACACACACACTTTTGTCTTATGCTTGGAAAAGGTGAAGACCTTCGCAAGTGTACCCTGAAAAGGCATGGGGTCCTATACAGTACAGATATGATTGATCATACTTGAATA